GGAGGAGGAGGGAGAAGGAGGAGGAGGAGGAGGAGGAGGAGGAGGAGGCCAACGCATCTACACCAATCCTGGGCCAAGGCTCGGCGTGGCAAGGATCGGTGAAAGGTGCACTTGGTGCCGTCCGACACTTGAGCAGCGAGAAGAAGCGGGCCTTGTTCGAGACGGCACAGCGACCGCACGCGGTGGCTTACGCGGGCCGCCAGCGCGGCACGCCACATTGAAAACAGAGGCGCCTACGCGAGACCTTCAGGCAGGACGCTTGCAAGCCAAGGCCGGTGAAGGCGGCACCGTTCTTTCTGCACCGCTCCTCGGGGAGGCCCGGGAGCGGCGCGGACGAGCCGACCAGGCCACGCACACCCCTCGCGCTGGAGGCCCTCTCCCGGCTGCCCCTGAGGGAGGCGGGGCCTCTCGCTCTGCCCGGGGGGCGGGGGGCCGCGGCCCCCCCGGCGCGGCCCGAGCGCGCGGCCAGCTGCGCCGAGGCCCGGTAGCCCGTGAAGAGGCCGAACAGCCGGTCTGCCAGCGCCTCGGGGCGACCCCCGCCCGCCCCACGGGCCTCCGACGGGGTGGGACGTCGAGGGCTCGAGGAGGATGGCTCTTCCATCCCTCCCTCCCCCATCCCTCCCTCCCCCTCCCTGCCTCCCCCTCCTCCCTTCTCCCTCCTCCCGTCTTCCCTCCTCCCTCCCCCTCCTCCCGAGGCGCCGTGCGCGGGCGGCCCGCCTTCTCATTCTTGGCAGCGACCCTCCTTCGCGCAACGACCTTCTGCGCGTCGTCCGCCCAGACCGACCGCGCCCCTCCATGATCCCGGTCGCTTGCTCCTCCTCCATGGTTCATACGGCCAGCTGGCAGCAGCTCGCGCCGGTCCTTGTGATCTCCGTGGGCAGCCTGGAAGGCATCGGCCTCTTTTCCAAGGTCTCCAGGCTGGGTGGATTGAAGGGGCAACTGGGACGCACAAATAAATACACACAAATAACGAGATTCCCCATATTTTCCTATATTTTCTTGGATTCTGTCTTCCCCCCCACTTCCCATATTTTCCAATATTTTCTGGGGAATCGACGATTAATTGTGTCTGTGTTTTTTCCATCCTGATGGATGCAGTTCACGAGCTACGGCATGTTCTAGGCGTTATCCCCGGGCAGTGCGCACGGGCTGCTTGCGCTGGTGGCGGCGGTCCTCTTCGAAGGCGGGGCCGCCCTGGGCGCGTGGCCCTGTGCCTGCGCCGTCCGACAAGTAGTGCCAGCAGTATGGCGTTCAGCTTGTCGTTTCGGCTCCGTCGGTCCGCCGCCCCCTTTCTTTCGGTTCTCCTGGTCTAGAGCTTCCCAAATGCCCGCTCTGGCCAGCTCCCGATGCCTCAGCCGCTATCTTAGAACGTTTATCTCCTGTGCAATCGCAGAGCAGTGCTCGGTTTCGGGTCTCCTCGTTGTGAGTCGCCCCCATCCCTGCCTGCTCCCCCGCTTTTTTGTCCCCGACTTTGCCCTGGTCGGCGGTCCGTTGCTTGCTTGCAGGTTTGCGTTCTCCGCACAGTCTGTCCGTCGCCGCTACGCCCACGGAGTTCAAGTTCTGCCGTTGAATGCATCAGTCCGTGCGCTGGGTCAGTGCATTTTACCCTGGCCCCTGCCTCCTCCGCGCGTTCGGCGAGGGGGGGGGGCAGGGACGCCCCCCTGCCCCCCCCTCCCGTCGCCGAAAGCGCGGAATTCCTCGTACCATAGAAGGCGTTACGAGGAAACGCCTCCAGCGCCACCAGCCCCTGCTTTCCCCGCCCCCAATGGCCTGTGTTTGCGCCTGCCTTTCCGAGTATTCGAACCTCCCTCGCTAGAAGTGACAGCACTCTTTTCAGTGTCACTTGCAAGTAAAATTGTTTTAACAGGCATTTATGATGAGATGTGTTCGTCGCGCTGCCCACCTCTCTTCTTTTTTCATTGCGGAACTCGGGGTGGCTGGTGGCGTACGTGGCTGTCTGCCACCCAGCCCACCCCAAGTGTGCAAGAACAGCGAGACGTTTCATCCGACGTTCTTCGACGACGACGACGACGACGACGACGACGACGACGACGACGACGACGACGACTCCCTCTCCCTCCTCCCCTCCACAGGCCTCCGACGTCTAGGCTGGTCGGGCCGCCACATGCGTTGCTTTCTCGGGACCACGGCGGCGCAGTACGCTGCGACGCTCGCCGTTCTGCTCAGGGCCGCGGCGCACGCGCGCGCTGCTGCTATCATTTACCGTGCCATCTTTGATGTTCACTCACTGCCTGTTGTTCAGACTTGGCGCGCCACACTCAGGCGCGCCAGTGCTAGAAGACTGCCTCTGGGACGTTGCCAGTGCCACGGCCATCCGACGTCTTGGACATTGATCACCGAGAACCGATGCTCGAGGACCGCTCATCCTGCCTTGTCTCCTCCTCCTCGTTCTCTTCCTCCTTCTCCTCCTGTGTTATCTTCCTCATCCTCCTCCTCCACCTCATTCATCAGCAGCATCATCATGATCATCACCCTCAGCCTCACCATTACTAGCATCGTAAACATTACCGACATCGTCATCAACATCGTCATCATAAGCATCATCAGCATCATCATCATCATCATCATCATCATCATCATCATCATCATCATCATCATCATCATCATCAGCATCAGCATCAGCATCATCATAGTCGTCATCATCAGCATCATCAGCATCAGCAGCATCAGCATCAGCATAATCATCATCAGCAGCAGCATCATCAGAATCGTCATCGTCATCAGCATCATCATCATCATGGTCATCATCACCATCATCATCACAATCGTCATTATCATCATCATCTTCATCATCATCATCATCATCATCATCATCATCATCATCATCATCATCATCATCCTCGTCAGCAGCATCATCATCCTCCTCCTCAGCAGCAGTATCGTCATTATCATCATCACCGTCATCAGCAACAGCAGCGGCATCACCGTAGATCAACAGCAGCAGCATCATCATCATCAGCAGCATCGCCAGCATCATCATCAGCAGCAGCATCATCAGCATCATCAGAATCATCAGCATCGTCATCATCATCAGCATCAGCATCATCATCATCAGCAGTAGCACCGTCGTCATCATCATCATCAGCAGCAGCATCATCAGCATCAACAACAGCATCCTCATCCTCAGCATCAACATCATGATCGTCATCAGCATCAGCAGCAGCATCATCATCGTCGCCATCATCATCAGCATCATCATCATCATCAGCATCAGCATCAGCATCAGCATCAGCATCAGCATCAGCATCAGCATCATCATCATCATCATCATCATCATCATCATCATCATCATCATCACCATCATAATCATCATAACTATCAGCTTTCCTCCCCCCTCCTCCCTCCTGTATCCCCTTCCTCCCTCCCACCTCCTCCCTCCTCGTGATCCTCCGCCCCCTCCTCCTCCTCATCCTGCTCCTCCTCCTCTTCTTCCTCCTCCTTCTCCTCCTCGTCCTCATCCTCCTCCATCGCTTCCTCATTATCCTCATCATGCTCCTCATCCTCTTTGTCTTAGTTGTTGTTATTATTAGTATTCTTATGATTAGTATTATTAGCATCAGTATTATCATAGTACTAGTACTAGTATTAATGATGTCACTAGTAGTAGCATCATGCGTATGATTCCGAGCGTAAGTCTTAGTACAGTATGCCGGTTCCCCTTAGTATTATTATTGATAATATTAGTATTAGTACTATTAAAAATATTATTAGTGCTAGCAGCATTATGATTCTTCTTTCTGTTATTAATATCAATCTTAAAATGCTTCTTCTTACTACTAGTATTAGTAGTCTTATTCATTTAGTACTATTCCTCCTCCTCCTCCTTCTCCTCCGCCTCCTCCTCCTCCTTCTCCCCCGCCTCCTTCACCTCCTCCACCTCCGCCTCCTCCTCCCTCCTCCTCATCCTCACCCTCCTCCTCCTCCCAGCCCCCCTCCTTCGGGCCATTCCCCGATCACACACACCAGAGCGCACGAGTTGTTCGAGACGTGGGCCCACGACTCCCTCCCTGGGGCCAGTGTTCTATCGTCCTTCTTGTTGTTGTCTTGTCGACGGCCCCAGGGCCCAGAACTCCAAAAGTGGCCCCCCCACCTCCCCCACCCCTCGGCGGCCAGCCCGGGCGGGCAGTGAGAGGCGACGGGCCCTCTCGGAAGGCTCAGACATCCCCCCCCCTGGCCTCCTGAAAAGTGCTCGAAGCCTTCCCCGAGGACACGGCACACTTCTCAGGAAGGCCAAGAGGGCGTCTGAGAAGGGCCACCGCCTTCTGACAGAGCCTCCTCCCCCTCACTTCCCACCCTCGCTCGTCGTGACGGTGAGCTTGCACAAGCTGTACGGCTTGGCAGCCGCCGAGGGGCAGCCACGCGTTGCCACCTGCTCCGAGCTGATCCTCAACGTCGGGGCCGCCTTCGACGTGGCCGTCTCTGGCGCCCTGACCCCACCTCCCCCGGCGCCTCCCGGGCAACGTGCGTCGTCGCCATGCGTGCTTTCTTGCGGACCGAGTCCCACTTCGCCCGGACGTTGCAGAAGATCCAGAGGTGGATCTCGCGGCGGACCCAATCCACCTCGGGGAAGCGAAGGGGGAGCGAGAGAGGAGGAGGAGGAGGAGGAGGAGGAGGAAAAGGAGAACGAACGAACGAGCGACTCTGCAGAGGCGTCTCAGCTGATCCTGCGATGGCGCGGGGAATTGAAACAACAACACTAAAGCGTTTCGCTGCTGACTCGCGTCTAGAGGGCGCTGCGACGAGGTGATTATCATCGCGCGTGGCACTGGGTGCGCTCTGCCACGGAGGAGGCGCACCATCCCTCCCGCGCCTAGGCTGCGCCGTCCGCGCTGCCTGCACTCAAGGGCCAGGCAAGCGGCTCGTCCTGGTCGGCGAAGAAGACGTCGCCAATCAACCCGGTGCCCTCGATAGGATCAGGAGGAGGAGGAGGGCCAGAGCAAGCCCAAGAGGCATCAACGAGGCTGCAGTACGACCGTCCGTCCCCGCGTTCCCCTCCTCGTGTAAGCACCCAGAGAAGCGCGCGCTCGCTACGGAAAGTGCCCCGCGGAAAGACGGGCGCCCCGTGGCGCTGCAAGGCAGAGGAGAGACCCGTCTTGAAGGGGAGCTGCCATCCCTACTTCTGGCCATGAGGACAGGACCACAAAGTTCAAGGATGGACCATAAAACGAACGACACCACCCCATCTACGGCCCCACGGGGCTCCACATAGACCACCAAATCTGGCGCGGGCTGTTACGTGGTATGCGCTACTGCCCCCGATGGGCCGTAGCGCAACGTGGAGGGCCGTAGGTGGGGTGGTGTCGTTGTTTTCGGTCAGTGTCCAGCGCAAGCCCCGCTTTGAGAACGGCCGCCCTCAACCCATGCAAATGTTCTACTTACACGCCCGGTCACAAGGCCTGAAGATGTCTCGAGCAAGAGCCCCGATTTGAAAAGGAGCCGCCTTCCACCATCCGTGTAGCTGTTGTGGGCGAGCTCCAAGCAATACACCACCACCACCAGCCCTGGCCAGGCCCATCCTGAGCCCTGGACTGGTGTATATACCTCCCAGTCCAAGGCCCAGGATGGGCCTGGCCAACTGTACGTGTGCACAACTGTAAAGTTCGGAACAGAAAGCTGCAGGAGGTATCAAGCGAAAACTCTATTTTGAAAAAGTGCCGCGCTCCACCCGTGTACCTGTCGGAACGTGTTACGGCGAATATGCGCGGCGCTGAGGCGAAGACCATGGTTTGCAGACGACCTGCCTCCGTCAGCAAAACTGTTGGAAACTTTTCAGACGAGTGTGCGCTGCGCCAGGGCGAAAAGTAAAGCTTGATAAGGAAATGCCATCCATCCGTGCTACTGTTGGAGACTGTAAGAACGAATGTGCGTGGCGCTAAAGCGAGAGACAAATGTTGGAAAAAGAACCGCCCTCCACCGTTTAACTGCTGGAAAAGCTCAAGACAAATGTGCGCGGCGCTGAAACCAAAGCCACATTTTGAAAAATTACCTTGACGAAGGACCCAACCATATGTAGCTGCAAGTGCCGCATTGTGGGTACCGCTTTCGGTGGAGTTCCCTGGAACCGAATCGTGCGAGGGGTGCGCCGAAATCGGTGGCGCGGACGCATGCGGACCCTGCCACTGGAGCCTTCAGTGGAGCTCCCTATGGGGCCACGAAACGCTGTCCTGGGTGGCAGTGACGCATGCGAACACTGCCACTGGAGCCTTCGGTGGAGCTCCCTGTGGGGCCACGAAACGCTGTCCTGGGTGGCGGTGACGCATGCGGACACTGCCACTGGAGCCTTCGCTGGACCTCCCTACAAGGTCATTGAGCGCTGTCCTGGGTGGCGGTGACGCAGGCGGACCCTGCCATTGGAGCCTAGTGGAGCACCTTTATGGGGCCACGAGCCGCTGTCATGGGTGGCGGTGACGCATGCGGACACTGCCACTGGAGCCTTCGGTGGAGCTCACGATGGGGCCATTAAGCGCTGTCCTGGGTGGCGGTGACGCATGCGGACACTGCCACTGGAGCATTCGGTGGAGCTCCCTATGGGGCCACGAAACGCTGTCCTGGGTGGCGGCGACGCATGCGGACACTGCCACTGGAGCCATCTGTGGAGCCCCCTATGGGGCAGCGAAACGCTGTCCTGGGTGGCGGTGACGCATGCAGACCCTGCCACTGGAGCCTTCGGTGGAGCTCACGATGGGGCCATTGAGCGTTGTCCTGGGTGGCGATGACGCATGCGGACCCTGCCACTGGAGCCTTCGGTGGAGCCCGCTAAGGGGTCACGAAACGCTGTCCTGAGTGGCGGTGACGCAGGCGGACCCTGCCACTGGCACCTTCGGTCCCTATGGGGCCATTAAGCGCTGTCCGGGATGGCGGTGACGCATGCGGACACTGCCACTGGAGCCTTCGGTGGAGCCCCCTATGGGGCCACGAAACGCTGTCCTGAGTGGCGGTGACGCATGCGGACACTGCCACTGCGGCCTTCGGTGGAGCCCCCTATGAGGCCATTAAGCGCTGTCCTGGGTCCTGTGTGGCGGTGGCGCATGCGGACCCTGCCACTGGAGCCTTCGGTGGAGCTCACGATGGGGCCACGAAACGCTGTCCTGGGTGGCGGTGACGCATGCGGACCCTGCCATTCGAACCTTCGGTGGCACTCCCCATGGGGCCACGAGCCGTGTGAGGGGTGTGCCGTAATGGCTGGCGGTGGCGCATGCGGACGCAGCCACTGGGGCCTTCGGTGGAGCTCCCTATGGGGCCACGAACCGTGTGAAGGGGTGTCCCGTAATGGGTGGCGGTGAAGCATGCGGACGCAACCACTGGGGCCTTCGGCGGAGCTCCCTATGGGGCCACAAACCGTGTGAGGGGTGTCCCGTAATGGATGGCGTTGGCCCTATGGGGCCACGAACCGTGTGAAGGGTGTGCCGAATTGGGTGGCGGTGACGCAGGAGGACGCAGCCATTGGGGCCTTCGGTGGAGCTCCCTATGGGGCCACGAACCGTGTGAGAGGTGTGCCGTAATGGGTGGCAATGACGCGTGAGGACGAAGCCACTGGGGTCTTCGGTGGGGCTCCCTATGGGGACACGAACCGTGTGAAGTGTGTCCGGTAATGGGTGGCGGCGACGCATGAGGACGCAGCCACTGGGGCGTTGGGTGGAGCTTCCTATGGGGCCACGAACCGTGTGACGGGTGTGTCGAACTGATGATGACGACGATGATGATGGTGACGGTGATGCTGATGATGCGGATGTTGATGGTGGGGAGAGGGAGGGGAGGCAGCGGGAGGAAGGACGCGAGCGCTGTCTTTTCAAAACGAGGACCCAACACCACATGATGGTTGGGAGCAAACCAACATCCATCCGTGAAACTGTTCAAAAATATCCCAGAAGACGAATCTGCGTGGCGCTGAAACGAGAGGTACCTTACACATATGTATACACATATATTAATATTATATACATATGATACATCTAAGAAGAAAGAAAGAAATAAAGAAAGAAAGAAAGAAAGGGAATTAAAAAAAAAAAAAAAAAAAAAAAAAAAAAAAAAAAAAAAAAAAAAAAAAAAAAAAAAAAAAATGCAACTGCTGAGAGCTGTTCACGCATGTGCGTGGCGCTCTGGCGAGACCCACATTTGGAAACCACCACCACTGAATCCGTAGAACTGCTAGTATTCTGCTGATCAGACTAAGAGGAGAGAGAGCGATAGAGACGGAGAGACAGAGAGAGGGAGAGAGAGACAAGGAGCATGGATTGAGGAGTTGGAGGATGAAGAGAAAGAAGCAAAAGAGGACGACGGACGCGAGGAAGGAGGGGTACGCCGCTGACTCCTGCATCAAGCTGCCTGAGTCGCCAGATCGCTCCTCCGTGCCCCCGTCCAGCTCCTGCGCTGGTGCAGCCAGCTCTGCCTTGCCGCCGACGGAAGAGTTCGTGCCGTTTCTGTTGTTCCCCCCCCCCCCCTGTTTGGACGCCCGAAATGGGTACGGACAAAAATGGGTACGATGCCCAACAACAAATGTTGTCCCAAACCAACAGCGGCCGCCGTTGGGCAGGCGGCCTTCTGTCTCAAATGGACACAGGCCGCGGCGGCGCGGACAGCGGGTCCTCTTCAAAATGAACAGGAACTGCTGTTGGGCATTGAACCCATTCTTTCTGTACCCATATCGTGCGTGCCGAGATTCTATCATGGCGATCCCCTTCCACCCCCCTCAAGAGCTGATTCCCGACGCCACGACGACGAGGGCGGCGCCGACAACGGCGGCGATGCCCCCTCCGCCGTCGTCGACGACGGCGGCGGCCGGCGCCAGGGGCGTGAAAGGCGACCGCACGCCTCGTCCAGCACGTTGAAGGCGCCGCCGCTGGCCTTCCCGGTCTTCGGGTGGACCTGGCAGACTGCCGGCCGATAGGGGGAAACCGCACCCTCTCGCCTCTCTCCGACGGCCGAGAGGGGGGTATGCCCGTCGCGACCGTCCACCGCGTCTGGGCGCCGCCGTGCTCGCCTCCCCTGGGGCCGCGAAGCAGCTGTCCGGGACACGAGAAACCCCAGGGGAGCAGGGTTGAAAAAAGGCTTGAAAAAGCCAGAAGTCATGGGACCAAGGCCTGAAACCCAGGAACCCCAGGAGGAACCCCAGAAGTCATGGGGAACCCAGAAAATCCCAGGAAAACCCAGAAGTCATGGGAGCGGAGACAAGAAACCCCAGGAACCCCAGGAGTCACGGGACCAAGGCCTGAGAAAGCCTGGGCATCGGAGCCTTTCTCTCGCCTCCTCCTCCTCCTCCTCTCCGTCTCGCCTCCCCGTCGCCCTCCCCCCCACTCCATCTTTGCCCTCTCCCTCGCCCCGCCTCCTCCTCCTCCTCCCCATTCCCCTCCCCTCCCGCGGTCATGTCCCCCCACAGCTCGGCGAGCGGGTTGTTTCGGCTCCCAGCAGGTCCCCAGCAACTCCTCCCAGGGCCTATCAGCACACAGCTCCCGCCCCCTCCCTCCCCCACCTTGTTTTTTGTTCTCACACTCTCTCTCTCTCTCTCTCTCTCTTCCTCTCTCTCGCTCTTTCTCTCGCTCTCTCTCCGCTTGTGCACCCTATCACCCCGGGCCCCGCCCGCCCCCCCCCCCCCCCCAACACAAAAAGAGAGATGATAAAGAGAGAGAGAGAGAGAGAAACAAACAAAAAAATATTAACAAACAAAATGGGGGGGAACAAAAAAAAACGACGACGACGACGACGACGACGACGACGACGACGACGACGACGACGACGACGACAACAACAACAACAACAACAACAACAACAACAACAACAGCAACAACGGCCACCACAACAACAACGACGACAACGACTACGACAATGACAACGCAACGGCAACGACGACGACAATGACGACAACAACAACACAAAACAATACAATACAATACCATACAATACAATACAATACAATACAATACAAAACAAACCAAAACAAAAAAAATACCAACAAAAACAACAACTATAACAACTACAATAACAACAACAAGTATGTTAAGACTGATCGTTCCTATCTGCTCGCGTGCCAATCAATACGTAGATCCCAAGCCCTCGGTACCCGCCCTCGTCGTCTTCGATCGTACCCCCTTGGGGATATATCTTCCTTACCTGCAACGTGTATTTAATGCAGCACCTAAAACAAGGGAAGAGAGGACGGGTGGAAGGAGGAAAGAGAAGAATGGAGAGAAATTAGCAGGAGGGGGGCAAGGAGCAGAAAACAAGTGGTAGGACCAGACGGGCAGATCGGGTGGGCAGACCCATAGCGGGCAGGTCGGGAAGGCGGGCCCAGGCGACGATATCGAGCAGGCGGGTTGCTGAAGCGTGGGTCCTGCATGAATCGCGAGGAAATCTCGAGCGACAGCGCTATTCCCAAGTAGATCGTGAGAAAAGCCAGCGTGGGCCACGAAGGGCATAAAATCCGAGGCCACAGAGAGCAGCGACGGGGCCGCTGAAGGCAGCATCGGGGCCACGAAGGGCAGCGAGGAGGCCACAAAGGGCAACAAGGGCAACAGCGGGGCCACGACGGGCATGCATATGGGGCCACGACGGGCGCGAGCGAGCGGGGGCCACGAAGGGCATTCGTATACGGGGTCACGAAGGGCGACAGCGGGGCCACTGAGGGCAGCAAAGGGGCCACGAAAGGCAGCGAGGGGGCCACGAAGGGCGACAGCGGGGCTACGAAGGGCATGCGTATGAGGCCACGACGGGCGCGTGCGAGCGGGGGCCACGAAGGGCACATCATGCGGGGCCACACAGGGCAGCGACGGGGGCACTGAGGGCAGCAACGGGGCCACGAAGGGCAGCGAGCGAAGGCGACCGCGGAACCAGTACTGGCAGCGAGGGGCATCATCGAAGGCGGGCGAAGGGCAGCGAGCGGCGACTGCAGTCATTAACGGGCTAGTCGGGCGGGCGGGCCCCGACGGGCGGGTCGAGCGGGCGGGTCGTTGAAGCATGAGTCCTGCTTGAACCGCCAGGCAATATGTAGCGGGAGCGCGATTCCTGAGTGTCGAGGACCGGCATCTTAATAAATTGCAAAGAAATATCGAACGAAGCGGTTCGGTGGTAAGTTGCGAGGGAGTCCCAAGCGATAACGCGATTCTGCAAAAAATCGTCAGGAACTATCAGGCGGGAGCCGCGATTCGGTAGTAAATTGCCAGTAAGTCCCAAGCGAGAGCGCGATTCTTCAATAAATTGTGAGGACGTATCAGGCGGGAGCCGTTGTTGTTGTAAACCGGGGGCCAACGACACAGTTTGAGCCTCAAGACTTTCCCTGATAAAAAACAGGGTGCGAGCCCCTGGAGGAGCACTTCAATCGAAAGAATACAATGTGCAACGGGCGGGGGGGATCAACAATAATTATTCTGCAGAAATGAAAACTCAACAACAACCATCACCTCAACCACAACAACAATAATCAGTTTAAGACTGTTCGCTCTTACTGGCACGCGTTTCTTGCATTCCGCGTAACCTAACCCTCGATACCCGCCCACTTCGTCTTCGATTGCACCCCCTTTCGGGGGGAATCTCTTCATTGTCGGCCACTGACTGAAGTGCGAAGAAGCCTCGAGCGAGAGCACCGCTCCTGAGTTCGGGGGCGTCTCTGGCCGGGGGCTCTCCGAATACCTATGGAGAAATATCGAACTGGAGCCGCGGTCGCCGTATTTCGGGGCCTCCACCAACTTGCCTGAATTACGGGAAAGTCTCGGGCGAGAGCGCCGTTCCTGAGTTCGGGGGCCTTCTTGGCCAGGGGCTCTCGGAGTAAATCGTGAGGAAGTATCAAACAGGAGACCTTGTCGTCGTGGCTGGGCCTCCGCCAACTTAATTGAATTGCGAAGAAGTCTCGAGCGAGAGCGCCGTTCCTGAGTTCGGGGGCCTCTGGCCAGGGTGTCTCGGGGTAAATTGAGGACGTATCGAGCGGGAGCCGTCGTTGTCGTAGCTGGGCCTCCAAGGGCCCACATGTAGGCTCAAGCCAACGCTCGAGCAGGAGCCTCGTTTTCAGAGAAAATGTAGCCGGCGTCGAGGCGAGAGCGCGATGTGGAAATAAACTGTGGGGAATATCAAGCGGGAGCCGTTGTTGTTATTGTTGTTGTTGTTGTAAAACGGGGGCCAGGGGCACAATGTGAGCAGGAAACCTTTCCCCTGTAAAAACACAGCGAGTCCCAGGAGGGGTATTTCAAGTGAAAAAACACGTATGTTACGCGAATGCGTGAACCCTGCATAATTCGCCAGGAAGTCTCGAGCGTTCCGCAGCAAATTGCGAGGAAGTATCAGGCGGGAGCCACTGTTGCTGTAAACCCGGGGCCTGAGGCACCGTTTGAGGAGGAAGACTTTCCTTTTTTATATATATATATAATCAAAAAGTCAAAACACACACCAAAAAAAAAAAAAAAAACGGCGCGAGCCCTGGGAGGAGCACTTCAATGGGGAAAACGCATATGTTACCGGAGGGGTGGGGATCAACAATACTTATTCTTCAGCAGTGAGAGTTCAACAACAACAACAACAACAACAACACCAACAACAACAACAGCAACAACAACAACAGCAACAACAACCACAACAACCACAACAACCACAACAACAACAACAACAACAACGACGACGACGACAACAACAACAACAACAACAACAACAACAACAACAACAACAACAACAACAACCACACCAACAACAACAACAACAACAACAACAACAACCACACCAACAACAGCAACAACAACAACAACCACAACAACCACAACAACAACAACAACAACAACCACAACAACAACAACAACAACAACCACACCAACAACAACAACAACAACAACAACAACAACAACAACAACAACAACAACAACCACACCAACAACAGCAACAACAACAACAACCACAACAACCACAACAACAACAACAACCACAACAACAACAACAACAACAACAACAACAACAACAACAACAGCAACCACAACAACCACAACAACAACAACGAACAACAATAACAAACAACGAAAAGAAACGCCCCAGGGCCCAGCGCTCTGGACAGCACCTGGCCGACGGCGCCGCAGCGGTCCAGCGAAGGCCCCCCCCCTGAGACGGCCAACACCGCCGCAGGACGGCGCCGAGACGGCCCCGAGACCTGCCCCTAAGACTGAAGGGGCCCCAGGACACACAAAGAAATACACACAAACAAAAAGGTTCCCCCTATTTTCCTATCTTTTGGGGTTTTTTGTATTCCCCCCCCACGTCCCCTACTTTTGCATATCTTCCTGGGAGTCGACGATGAATTGTGTCTGTGTGTTTCTTTCCCTCCTGATAAGACATGCCCCAAGATGGCCCACCCAAGGCGTCCCTGGGAGCACACACATGTTCCATCCGGCGGCGAAGCGGCGGCCTCGTCGCGAGCACTGGGCCAGGGTGTACCTGGTCGAGTTCCACTTGGCATAGGGTGTGGGTGGACTGAGAGGGGGGCAGTGCGTGCAGGAGAAGGCGCAAGAAGCGCAGCGTGCACCTGGAAGACGCCAGCCGGCGAGCGCGCAGCACGCAGTGGGAAAGTGGCCGAGCGTCACCTCGCAGTGCTAGGGAGGGAGCATCGAGCGGTGGGAGCAGGTACGGCCGCACCGAAGCGTGGGACTGAGGCGAATGCGAGCCAAACAAGGGGGACATACACAAACACACACACACACACACACTTGTTTGGCGTCGCGGCCACGCGCGCAGCGGCGTGGCGCAGAAAACGTCAGGCGAGCGCGCGCAACACACGCTTCTTATTTCGCGGCCGGCTGGTCCAACTCAGCGAGGGCGTAAGCGAAGTACGCTGCAGCCGGGCCGCCGAAAGAAGAAACGCTAAATGAGGAACGAGGTCCCTTCTTGCCGCTGAAAGCGCCTCCGTGCCCCAGGAGGGCAGGAGGAGCAGCAACGGAGGGACCTCAGGAACATCGAGCCCCTTCCGAACCCAAATTGCTCCTCCTTGCAAAATCTTGACTGTAAATTGCTTGCCACCGAACATGCACTGATCACCACCGTGAACACAGTTAGATTGGGCTCCACCCCGCCCCCTGACGAGGAGGGAAGAGGGGAAACCGCTCGACTTTTGCAATAGGAAGGCGCCCAAGAGTCGATCGGGACCTCGGGATCGAAAAACACCTGCCGGCAACGGCCGACGTGCAGGCGGGGAACGCCAAGCCGATGACCACCGAGCGCGCGCCGAGGGGGGAGGGGGGGCAGCCAACAGGGGGGCCGCGCGAGCAGACTTTTTTTTCCGGCGGCAGCTAGGCCGGGGCCGTCTGCTCTGGCGAGGTAAGCTCAACAAGGAGGCGGCGTGGAGGCGAACTGGCCAGCGTGCAGGAGGGGGGCAAAGGGGGAGGGGGAGGAGGAGGAGGAGCGAGGAGGAGGAGGAGGAGGAGGAGGAGGAGGAGGAGGAGGAGGAGGAGGAGGAGGAGGAGGAGGAGGAGGAGGAGGAGGAGGAGGAGGAGGAGGAGGAGGAGGAGGAGGGGGAGGAGGAGGGGGAGGAGGAAGAGGAGGAGGAGGAGGAGGAGGGGGAGGAGGAGGAGGAGGAGGAGGAGGAGGAGGAGGAGGGGGAGGAGGAGGAGGAGGAGGAGGAGGAGGAGGAGGAGGAGGAGGGAGGAGGAGGAGGAGGAGGAGGAGAGGAGGAGGAGCAGGAGGAGGAGGAGGAGGAGGAGGAGGCTGAGGAGGAGGAGGAGGAGGAGGAGGCAAGACTCGACATAAGAAGGCCTTCCCATGGAACTGCGAGGAGGCACGACGGTGGGGCACAAACGCAGCGTCGCAGGCGGCGCGCCTCTCAGGGGCAGCGCGAGACGGCGGCGGAGGGCGGAGGCAGCGCGACTAGCGCCGGCGCCCGGCTGGGCGGCCCGGAAGAGCACAGCGGGAGAGTGGCAAGCTGCAACCGCCGTCGATCTATAGTCGGGCAATGGCAGAACTGGATTTAGTGGAACCTGGTTTCGTGATTTGTACCGGGGGCGCCCCCCCGTCCCATTTCCACTAACTGGAACTGCCGTCACCCGAAAAAACGCCAGTTATGGCAAGCCTGGTTTAGTGATTCTGGCCACCTCAAAGGCCCCGGGGCCCTACCACTAACCGGGTCCCCTTACCTGGGGTCCTGGCCATACCCGATATAGAACAGCTTCTGGCCTCCACCTCGAGATGCGGGCTGAGCTCAGGGCTCTGCCTGCTGGCGTGTTCGCGGGAGCGACCCGGCAGCTTCGGTCCGTCTTTCCTGGAGACCTGAGCTCGGTCTACTCGGCAGGAGGAGGCCAACATCGTAATGCACACACACAACACACACACACACACACACACGCACACACAGACACACATACACACACACACACACACACACACACACACACACACACACACACACACGCGCACGCACACAAAGTCACGGCACATCGACGACGAGGACGCCTACGCGCGAGACACACACACACTTTTGAGTCGGCGGCGCAGAGGATCCTCCGGCGCGGATGGTAAATGCAAGTGCCAATTGCGACCGAGCATTGAGGCACAGTGCACAAGCCGTGCACACTGTCAAATGCAGCGATGGGTGGTGTGGAGAAAAACTGCAATTCCAAGCGAATCGTGCAGCGGCCAGAAAGCCGAGGAGGCAACTCAACTGAAGGCAAATTGAAGCTCGAGCAGTCTGGTGTAAATTAGCGGCCACTTGATCAAAGTGGAGGTTGTTAAACAATGAAGCGCGAGAGCACACACACACACACACACATACATATATATATATATATATATATATAGATACACACACACACACACACGCACGCCAATGGCCACGACACCCCCAAAAGGTCCACCAGAGGCTCTCGAGAAGCCTCCATGAGGTCCGCTCGTGCGGCGAGTCGTCCATTGAGGAGGGCGATCATGAGAGCCGCCGCGCGCCCCAACCCTAGCAGTCCCGGCGCTCCCGACGCTTTGCTGGAGAGGCCCGAGGGGAAGTTAGCGGGAAAAGAGCGCAGCGCAGCGTTGCCGCAAAGGAGTAGGTAGCCCGGCCTAGGAAGGCTGCGCACAGTGTACAAGCGTCACACGATTTGACCACGATTCTGCCACTGCTCCCCCCTGCAGCGCGCCCTTCTATGAGCTGGGAGTCTGAGACCTCTCCACGCCTGCGCAGCTTCTCGAGATGAACCCAGCGCTGGTATATCCCTCATTCGGCTCCGCCCGAGGCGAGGCAGAAGAGCACACGACCGAAGCAGCGGCCTCCTCGGCTTTGGCGATCCCTGCGCCCTGGTCCACTCCTTCGCGGTCACTGCGGCCGCTTGCGTCGACAACGTGGATGAGGCCTCGGCGGCTGCTCTCAGAAAAAGACGTCGCAGATCCATGCGCTGTCCCCCGCCACATCCCTCAAATCTCTAGTGCAAACGTGCTGATTCCACTGATGCTCTGCAAGGTGCGGCTGCATGCTGGAAGCTCCTGGAGGCCAAATCGCCACCGAACACAGTTGCACCAGGGCCTAAAACAAGTGGCCTGTGGCAGCTTTCGAGAATCCAGAAAGCTCACCGGACTGTCGCGCAACGGTTGTTGGGCATACCAGAGCAACCAGAACTTCAGAACTACTTCAATCCCACACAGTGGCCCAAACACAAAGAAGGAACACAAGCCCCAGAACGGGCAGGCCAAAACAACTGCGCATTCGCGCCGCATTAGACAACGTCAGCCCCAGGCAGGGCGGTGGGTAATGAACTGATCCACGGCAGGTTCGTGTAGTGACGAACCCCGTGTTGGTGCCTTGCGAGGTGAGGGTGGTGGCTCATCCACCACTCGGCTTTTCAGGCGTTGGCGTGTCGGGACGAGCCGCTCGCCCCCCCCCCCCGCCCAATGTTGCTTGCCTGCGCACGGCGTGCGGGCAGGCGTCACCAGCTGCCCAGCCTCTCTGCACAGCCTTGGGGCTGCCTGGCCGCTGGTGGAGCACAGCTTGGTTTCTGACACCGCGCGGATCGTTCAATCTTTGTAGTCGCCTGGGGGGCAGGCGTCCCCGACGGCGGAAAAGTTCATGCCGTCCGTCGTCCCCTAATTGATCCACGGCAGGTTCGCGTCGTGACGATCCTGGTGCTGGTTTCTGACACCGCGTGGATCGTTCACACGTTGAACGATCAGCGGCTTTTCGATCGCCACACCTCACATCGATCCATGTTGGCCGATCCGGAGCCGCTGGCGACGTGCAACCCTGCACTCCCGCGGTGGGGTCGCGGCCGCGTCGACACGGCGAGCGGTGGGTGATGAACTAATCTACGGCAGGTTCGCGTCGTGACGACCCCGATGTTGGTTTCTGACACCGCGTGGATGGTTCAACCTTGAGCGATCGGCAGCGCTTCGATCGCCACATCGATCCATGTTGAACGACGCGTCGTGACGACCCCAGTGTTGGTTTCTGACACCGCGTGGATCGCTCACACCTTGAACGATCGGCGGCGTCTCGATCGCCACACCGATTCTCACATTGGCCGACCCTGGGCCACCGGCGACGTGCAACCCTGCACGCCCGCGGCGGGGTCGCACACGGGGGGGGGGTCCGAGTGGATGGGGTCGGAGGATCGCGCCGCCATCGCCGATGCCTCGGCGATGCAGCGGCGACGTCGGCGCGGAGAACGTCGGGCTCCACAGCGAGCGGCGTCGCCGATGCATCGCCAATGCAGTGACGATGCGGCGCGATCTTCCAACCCCATCTGCTCCGACCCCGTCCGGGAGGCCCAGGCTCTTAGGAGGCGCCGGCCCCACATCTGCAGACGAGGCCCGCGCCTCCTGAAAAGCAGGGTGCTCCTGCGAAGCCTTCCCCCGCTCCCCCTGCACCACCCTTCTGCGCGTGGGGCAACCCTGGGTTACCCACGTGCCCTCTCGCAACACGCCCACTCGCAGCACCACCGGGGACTTGCGACAGAAAATCAAGAGACGGGCAAATCATAGTGCAGGGTGCACCGCCTCCGAATCGAGAGGCGAGCCGAAAACCAGTGGGGCATGATACTTCTACGTCTTCGAGGGCGGGGGGCTGGGCCTCGGCTTCGACTGGTGAGTCCACAGCCCCCAGGGGGCCCCCCCCCAGACGAGATGGAAGGGGCTCTGGGACACACAAATAAATACACACAAATAAAAGGATTCCCTATATTTCCCCATATTTTCTGGGTTTTTGTCTTCCCCCCCACTTCCCATATTTTCCTATATTTTCCTGGGGGTCGACGATTAATTGTGTCTGTGTGTTTGTTTCCCTCCTGAGAGATCCGCCAGGCCAGAAGAACACCCCTCGAGAGCACGAGACCCTCCGCCGGCCAAGACAAGCAGCACATCCAAGGGCGATGGCACTCCCCAGGATCCGCGAAGAACCTCCAGAGAGCACGCAGAGCAGCTGGGCATCCTCCCCGAACCGACCTCGATCTTGTGCCTTGGTCCGACTGCAATCTTAGATCGGGCATGTCCTCCTACAGGCGGGCTTTGGACGAAAAATAAAATATTCAAACAGCTTCAACAATGGTCGAAGATCAGCAAGCTTTGACTCCAAATAGTAGACGATTCAAATCAAGGAATCAGAAAAATCGAGCAAGCTTGGAATCCGCAACTCAGCAAGCCAGCAAGCGTGCAAGCAAGCGCGCAAGCAAGCGCCCAAGCAAGCAAGCAAGGAAGCAAGCAAGCAAGCGTGCAAGCGAGCAAGCAAGCAAGCAAGCAAGCAAGCAAGCAAGCAAGCAAGCAAGAAAGAAAACAAGCAGGCAAGCAAGCAAGAAAGCAAGCAAGCAAGCAAGCGCTCAGAGGTGGTGCATAGACATAGGCACAGGCATAGGCAAAGGTATAGGCATAGGCATAGGCATAGGCATAGGCATTGGCATTGGCATTGGTATTGGCATAGGCATAGGCATAGGCATTGGCATTGGCATAGGCATACGCATAGGCATAGGCATAGGCAGATGCGTTGGCATAGGAGTTAGGGGGAGGCATAGGCATAGGCATAGGCATAGCCAGAGGAAATAGGGGGGGACAGGAATTAGGGGGGGCAACGGACAATGAGTAGGGCTTGAGCTAGAGCTCCTGTAGGGCAAGCCTATCTGGAGACCAATCGCCCCCCTACTATCATGAACTATTTTTGAACAATGCTCCTCCTGAAGGGGGACAGGCCCGCCTTAACTGTAATCCACAGCCCCCCGAAGGGCCCCCCCACCCCAGACGAGATCCGCCCCGGATCCCGGACCGCCCCGCTCCACGCGCCCCCCCCCTCTGGCGGCGCGGCCCCCTCGGCGCCCGCTCTCGGGGAGGGGGGGGCGCCCCCGTGGCGCGGGGCTCGCCTCCGCGGCCCTGGCCGCCGGGCGCGCCTCGCGCGGCTCGGCTCTGCCTCCCGCTCCCTCGGGCGACCTGCAGCATCCGTCCTCCCCCTCCCTGCTAGGTATCCGAGGTCTTGGTGCTCCTCCTCCTCCGCTCCTTCCGCTCCTCCGCCTCCTCCGCCTCCTCCTCCTCCTCCTCTCTCCTCCGCCTCCTCCTCTCCGCCTCCTCTACTCCCCTCCTCCTCTCTCCTCCTCCTCCGCCTCCTCCTCCTCCGCCTCCTCCTCCTCCTCCCGCCTCCTCCTCCTCCTCCTCCTCCTCCTCCTCCTCCTCCTCCTCCCCCTCCTCCTCCCAGACAGCCGATGTCTTGACTTGTTCGATACCAGGACCCCCGAAGTCCTGGCCTTTTCCGACGGCGCGCGCGGGGGCGGTCCCAGGAACACCCCGGGGCCTCCCAGGGGAGCAAGAAGGACCTGTGTGGCGTCCGCCCGGGAACCTGCGTGGCCCCCGGCGCTGGCCGATTTGGGCCTGCTTTGGACCGCATTTGGACCACATCTGGCACGACGAAGCGCTTCGTCGGCTTGGCTTCGAAGCCAAGCCGAGGATAAATTCGGGCAAGGATCGAGAATCTCTGAGATCCGGCGGCTCTGGAGGATGTCTCGGGCGCCGCAGCCCTCTCAGAGGGTTCCAGAACGCTCTGAGAGCGTTCCCGAACGCTCTGGAACGGA